TAATATAAAGTATAAAAACGTAAACATATATAGGTTAGTAGTAGACGTATACTACTATATATATATATATATATATATATATAATAAAACTACACACACAACATATATATATATATATATATATATATATATATATATATACAATACACACACACACACATATATATATATATATATATATATATATATATAAATATATATATATATATATATTTTATAAAATATAATATATGTATATGTACATACTTGAAAATCTATTTATTACGCATAAATTAAAATGTACAAGTACGCTTATTATGGGTCCAAAGCAACATACACGTATACGTAGATGATGCACTCGAAGTGTAACAAGTTCAAGTTAACCTCTGCAATAATAGGCCCCACATACCCTGGCCGGCCTCGAGATGGACAGTCTATGAAAGGGAGTGGATCTGCCCAGGCGAACAAGCGATGCAGCCTTCTGTGGTGTTTATAAACAACTGTCAGAACTAATACAAGCAAACTGGGCTGGTGTCAGGAGCAATCATAGTGGAGCGCTAACATACTCTGAGTATCGCCACAACGCACAACGTATCGTTACCACACTCGTTTAGTATAGGTAAAACACTCTACATATCGTTAGATCGAGTGATCCTACTTTGACAGAACCCTCGCACACGTAACAAAGAATACCTTGGTATGTGACGGTATATTATCTTGTAAAAAGATGCATCAATAGTCTATTAGTCACGCGTATATATAATTTGCTTATCAGTCTGTTGTGTAACGATCGTCCCTTGCACCTGAATACCGCGTGCGCTACATCACACACCCACAACGTGTGCTTTTGTACACTATGATGAGTCCATAGTACAGTACGTGCAACCCCAAGAAAGCTATACTATACTAAGTAGTACAATCAAGTCTTTTGACCTGGGCAGATCAAACTCACATCACGTTTACAGCCTAGATGTGACAAAATGTAAGTACACAGTATTCATAACCGAGAAAGGTTGCTACATACACCACTCGTCAACAAACAAGGAAATAAATCCCGAAGGATCGATCATCCACTTACATGACATGCGCAACATACATTCCATACCCACATAGTGGCGCTGAATCACGCAAGAGGCTTATCTATGCTCTCGGGACAGACACGAAAGTCCCCTCGTGCCCTCTACACGTCGTCTCGTGTGTGGATCTGTCAGATATGGCAACGATTACGTCCATTAAATAATATGTATGCGTACGAATGGGCGACGCACGTAAGTGACCTAACTATACTATTGACATACTATTGCTTAATGCTTTTAATAGGTCTCGTCGCACTTATATAACTAGAACCCCAAAAAACAACAACTCACTTCTCGAATCTCGCGTGTACCCTCAGCCCCTCGCGTCTGTAATAGCACCGCCAAAATGCATTGTTCCAAATTTGGAAACCGAGTGGTCTGGGACGCTGGACTCTGGAGACAGGGAGAGTGGACTGTGGAGACTGGAGTGACTGGACACAGGACTCCAGGAGTCAGCAGACTCAGCAGTCAGCAGTAGAGCACAGAGTGACAGGACTCTTCAGTCTTCGCTTTGGACTGTGGACTGTGAACTGTGGAGTTTGCTCAGAACTTCAGGCCCAGGCCCCAGGGCCAGGGGCCAGGGCCACTCAGCCCTCATAGGCTCTCATCAGTTCATAGTCTTCTAAAATTGAATAAATCAGGGCTCATAACGTAAACTTTATAAATACAGCGTAAACGTACTACGTTTTCATTCGAACCAGTAAACCACTCCCCCCCAAAATGACTAATGAGGAAGCAAAAAAAAAACATGGCCTCTGGATTTGAGTGTTCATTTTCAGAAGAAGGCTTTGATTTGGGTCTCTGCTAATTTTATGATTTCCGCTACGACCGATTTCGTCGGAAGGAACCTAATTTCTGCTCCAGACCCGAACCCGAGGGCCTGTAAATGTAATTTTGGGTTTTAGGGTTTAGGGTCAAAGCAATCTTGGAAAGCCATAGCCTCCTATTTTAATAGTTCGTGAGGCTATGGGAAAGAGGCTATAAAACAATCACGTATGCAGAACCTCTGGTACATATTGATTGTATTTGCTATAGAAGACTATACAAGCCACAGAAAGAAGCACCTGTACAATGTATTGTTAAATAGTGTGGTAACATCTATAGAGAATGCTCTCACAGCCTTGTGATATACGATTTGCGGCATGTACTATCGCTCTATCAGATCTCGATGCTTCGGATCTAGTCGTGCCATATTCCGAAAACACTTTCATTCGGAAGAAGTGCTCGCATTTTTGAGAAAACATTTTAGTGCCGGCCATACGCGATGCTCAGTCGTATTTTTATAATCACATCTCTATGCGCATATTTATATATATTCCTGCTAAGGTCTGTAGCGAGTTGTATATATACGTCCATAAACGTATAGACCTTCTTTCAAACAGAGCACCGAGTGTGGCAACGTGTAAATATGAATGGATTTGTGCAGCCTTCTAGCTAGATTTTCACTTCCTCAGACCTTTGTCTATTCGAATCAGAATCAGTATCATCCATTTATTAGCTATATTATGTTGTTCTGTAATAAAATATAAGACCACAGCGTCCACCCGTTCTGCGCAATACAAATGCTGTATTTACACCGCAGAAGTTCACACAAATTCGTCTCCGGTTGCGTGGTCGGTGTTTGCGGTGAGTGTTACCCGACTTCGGTATACATGCACACATACATATGTATGTATGCACACATACACTTAGACACACGTACTTATCCATCTACATTATTGTGACTTTATGCACACACTCCGAATCTCCCGACAGGATTTGCGACACCATTTGCGACATCCAACACTCAATTCCCTCCACCTCCTTTTGACTCCCGCCAAGCTTGTAGGCACGGACGACTGTGTACTCAGCGCTCAGAGAACCATGTGGACGTGAAGATAGTTGCACACACGCCAGCCACTCCAATGACAATCTCAATACCAATCAGCCAGATCACAATCCATTCGAGCTTCTCGCCGTGTTGCTGGTGTTGTTCGTCTTTCAGGATGCTCATCATCTCGTGCACAACTGAGAGCGACCGAACGACAGAGAGAGGCGGAGAGAGTGGTGAGGCCGGTGGATGTGTGTGTTCGAGTGTATGCGCATATGGATACCGCTGGCATGACGCAATTAGTGGTGAAAACACGGGTTTATGGCGGGAATGCGTGTATGTGTATGAGTGTGACAACACACACACAATTATACGACAATGCTCCTGTATTTATTGGCAAGTACTAATAAACATGCGTTCACTATATATATATATATATATATATATGTATGTAACAATAAATACACACACACATATATATATATATATATATGTAACAATAAATACACACGTACATACGCACGTAC